GGCTGGTGAGCCAGGAATCACACCGGTAATTACATGGAACGGACGAACAGTCTTTTGGCAGCAAGTTCTCTGTATGCAGGCAAATTAATGTCCTTGCTGGTACACTGTCATGGGAACATGTCAGTGGAAGTTAAAACATATGACAATGCAGTACATGGACAGTCAGCAGATGTGCATGCCTTACTTGTACTTTTTTATGACAGAGAAGCCACACAGCACATGATTTAAAGAAAAAAAAAGTGCTGTGAGAGTATGGGGTTTTTATGGCTCCGCCACAGCTCTGCCATCCTGCCAGCCTCTTGCTCTCTGGGCAAAGGCCTGCAAAGGAACCACAGAGTGAGCTGACAGCTCATTGGAGGCCTGACAACAACTCGGTGGATCCAATCCCCGACAAACCTTAACAGCTCTTCTCCTTCTGCCTTCATCCTCTCTATATTTTTTTGTGTCTTGAGCGGGTGAAATATGACAGATCTTTCTCTCAACAGCGGCTGCTACATATTTCTCCAGATTCATATGTAACCACAGACTTAGCCCATCTGCTTTTTCCAAGGTTTTTTCTCTGGCGAGCTTATGTGAGAAGAGGCCTGACAAACACAGATGAAAAAGCAGCATTCGGTTTTGTCCTTTTTCCCTCCGAGGCAGCTGAGTTTGAGTTCAGAAGAAAAGAGTGGGGGAACTATCTAGTGAAATGGGACTGTTGTCTTTTTTAGCAGCCATGAGGTAAGAGGGACCAGTTAAAAGAGTTGGAAGTGTGCCTCTGTACACACACTGAAAAGTCAGGTAGATCATGGAAAGAAAAGTAAATAGAAAGCAATTACTGACTTTAGTCTGAATACAAGTGAAGGGAAATCTGTAAAGACTATAATGTTTTTAAAAGAGGTCAATTACTACAATAGCTAAACATCGTATGAGTGCTCTGTTTTCTCAATTGATGGCCGCCTTGGGTATCTACACTAAAACAACAGCGGCTCCTTTACTCCAGGCGAACAGAATCTCCTGTTTACTCTTCACTGTACATCTGGATTGCCACAGCAATTCAGAAGGATATGGTATGATTGTAATCAAGCTAGGTCTTTGATCGCTACACTGAGCTAATCCAGGGCTTACAGTAACCTCAGACAGGCTGTAGAAATCACCATTACTATACAGCTGTTACAGGAAAACTATCAGACTAAAGCCTGGATTGTATGAGGAGAGTCTGCGGAGTGCTACTCCTAAACTTTCGTCCATTGAGCTTGTCAGCACTTTCAGCAGGGATAAATGCTGTGCAGTTCCACTCACTTAACTCAGCTTTTCCGGGTCATTCATAAGCTTTTACAGAGTTCAGTCCCTACAACTCACAACTGAAAAAAAAACCACCTCCCGACCAAACCATCAAACCACACTTTCATCCTGTATCTATGGTCCTGCAATCTCAACTGAGCCTTTTCAAATACAGTCCTAATAGGGTTCTACTGTCGGGCAGGGAGAAAGAATGGCAGGGAGGAGATACTGGCCAAGCTAAGGTAGCAAAGTCACACAACTGAATGTATTTTTTTTTTTATCCCTCGGCAGATAATTACAATTTTCTCTCCTCCAAATTGCAGTGACAGGCCGATGTTCAGGAAATACCCAAAGAACTTTAATAACCCGGGCAGTGGTGAAAAATGTCCTTATCTGTGCAGTGTGGCGTGTCAGATTTATTCAGTGTTATTTTATTTGAAACCTCTGAAATAGGAAAGTTTAAAACTGAGGCAAATTCTGTAATCAACACACAGTTTCTACCTGAATTATTTAGAGAATAGAAGAACAGAATCAGTGACTGGCACTACCAAAATTACAATATATGCTAAAAAATGCATGAGCTCACTATGCAGTACAATATTGTAGGTGATATTTTAACATTTTATATACTTAACAAAAAATAATGCCAAGAATAATGATGGCATATCTCCAAAAACCCATCCCAAAAGTCAGTGAAAATTACCTCTTTTTAAAGAAGTCAGTTGGGTGGATTTGAGGTGAGAGCATTTTGCCTGCATTTCCCTGAAAAGTACTTACCTGTTCAAACCAATTATCCTAACAACAAACGTGCACTGGCTTCATGGAACACCCTTTTGGACCTTACCTCAGCAGCTGGGATGCCTTCGGGTGGGCGACATTGAAGTAACACTTCCTGTTCAAGTGACACTTCTTTTCCAAGAGGTTCCTGGTCAAATGTCTTTCTCAAGTCTGAAAAAAAAAACACATAAAAGACATTGTGTATTAGTGCTAAATGAAAGCGTATCATACTAGAAGATCGACAGTATATCCTGAAATATGTTTAAGATTAAACACAAAGCCGACCAGTGTTAATGTCACAAACTATAAAAACAATTAAAAGAAAAGAAAGGTTAAGTTGTCAATAAGACCTGCCTCTGTGCAAAAGCAGTATATATAAAACAGACTATAGGTGAGTGTTATGTCTCCAAGCTCATCTTCAACACCCACACCCACACACACAGATTGCTTGAAATAGATGGATGGAAAATAGGGAGAAGGGGCTCACTTGCGCTCCATCAGAAAACCAACATTTTCTTGGCGTGAGAGCCCTTATGGATTAGTGCAGGGAAGGTATAGTGGAGCTGACAGGCTAGGATTACTGAAGGTGTCATGCTACACTGGAACCTGAAGCCCATTAGACATATATCATGCTGCACAGACTGAGACAGTAGCAGTGGGCATCAACTGACGAGAAGGGGCGTGGAGAGGAGAGGAGGTACAGTAGTACTGAGCAACGTTAGAGGCACTGAAGCATCATGTCTACAATCAATCCTTCAAACCCCAGTGATACCATTTTCACAAGCATTGCAAAATTCTCGTCATACGCACTTTTATTGACACATTCGGTTTGGGGGTGAATAACTTCATTCAGCAAAGCACAAAAACATATTTTATTCCAGACAACAATTCTACATAACTTTGTTCCCTTTCCTGAGGAGACAAATGTACAAAATGTGGCACCTATACTGTATGTGGATGGGGAAACGCGCACAGTCAAGAATGACTGAAGGGTAAAACAAACCAAAAGGCTCTATCACCAGCTGTCTCTTTCTTTGTGTGCGTCTGTGCGTGTGTGTGTGTGTGTGAGAGAGAGAGAGAGTGTGAGTGTTTGTGTGCATGCGTGCGTGCCATCACAGCAAACTGCAGCAAGAAGTACCACAAAGGTGGCCATGAGTAGTTCGTAGATATTTATACATCTGTCAGTCAATCGGAAATATGACAACTTACCAATGTCAAGAATGCAAGCTTTATAATCTAACAGATGTCACTGGTTATTCTACCAAAAATGCATTTTGAAATGTAATGTAATGTATCGTAATGTATGTTAATTTTTCATCAAAATAATGAAAAATGATGTCATCTACTGTATTTTATTTTACCAGGAAGTCTAACTGAGATGAGATGCTCAGAGGAGAGACTTGGACATGATTGCACCCATTAGAACTCTTTTCTCTAGAAAAACAACCACATGCCACATGTTACTTACTACATTTAATTAGTTTTACATTACGCTTAAAAAAAAACCCAAAAAAAAACCACCCCAGTTATAAAACTGTATTTTGCATTACACCAATTTCCTGTAGCTTTCGATGTTGGCAGCACTGAACTATACAAGCTATAGAATGAAGGCTGACCTGAAGATCCTATCTTTGATAAGCCAACATGGGCTGTTAATTAACATTAAAAAAAGTTCACCCATCCCTTGGTCTATTTTTTAAATGCTTAACCAACCAGAGTCGTGACAATGGGGACAGAGAAGCAGGGCAGAGACAGAAGAGGTTGCCTGTCCATCACACAGCTAACAAACAGACACAGAGACTTGCATGATGACATCCACCCTTATGGCCAATTTAGAAAGTCCAGCTAACCTAACCTGCATGTCATTGGACTGTTGAAGCCGAAGTACCTGGAGGAACCCTAAAAGCAGAGGGACCACATGGAAAGTCCACAGCAAGCAGATATATTAGTTTCTTCTTCAACCCACACCTAACTGTGTCCATGAAAACAAATCCTGCAGTGACCTTCATTCCGGGACCCGATCTTTTAAAAGGATACAGCTGTTCTTCTTCAGAGAACGCTGCAGTAATGTACAGCTACTGACATTGTGTACCAACATAAGGCACAGATTTATTATATTTTATAGTCCTAGAATAGCACATGGACTTTAGATGTGGGCATACTGTCTGAAGTGACACAGATCGTATGGCAGGATTTGCACTTGAAAAGTCAAAGCAAACTGCGTGTAAATCTCTAAAGACTCTCAAGACTCTTAGGCACAGTGTGTAACAGGATACACTTTCCTTATCTATCATAGTAAAGAAATGCTTTTCAGTGTCTGGGGAGATGGTGTATGAATGGATACAGAATGAAAAGAGCATTACCACCTGTAATAAAACAAGAGATCTCCAAAGACTGATCACAACAGATTTTTTTTTTTTGTTTCTTCATTTGCTTTCATTTCATTCAATAGCTATTAGGTTTAGAGACATTATTTTAAAATAGACATGTTTCACTGTTTAGAATGAACTGGTCTGCATCCCCGAAGGGAAGAAGATTATGTTCCTATTACAGAATACATGATGATGCAGCACCTGGAAACACTAAAGAATACCTATAGTCATTTTACGGTTCATTTTTTTATTTGGAAAAATGATCCTTAAAATAACAAATTCATGAGGTATCCTTGTTCCAGTTCAACCCGAGAGTACCCGTGTCTTCAGGGGAATATGTTATAATTCAGCACATTTCAATGTATTGTAATGGCTGAAAGGGTGACTGCTGAATTGAAAGTAATTTCCGTAAAAGTCTGGTATGAAATTAAAAGAAAGAATGACTGCAGGGGTATATTCTTTGACAGAGGTTTTTCGAATTCAATCCAAGGACACACAAGCTGTTTGGTTTCCTTAAGATAAAGTGGGCAGGAGGAAAGGAAAGGAGATATTCTATAGCGATGGATGCTACCTTAACGATAAAATAATTAGAAGTCACGGTATGACAGGTACACACTGATAACTTTATGATTTATAAAATTTGCACTACAGTCAAATCTAACAAATTAAATTATCTGTCCAGGTACTCTGACTTCCCCCACAGTCCAAAAACATGCATGTGTCAGGTTAACTGGTAACAGTTGGCCATAGGTGTGAATGTGAGCATGAATGGTTTCTGTCTAAGCTCTGCATTAGACGGGCGACCTGTCCGAGGTGTTTTGGCACCCCCGGTCCCTGATCCTGAATAAAGTGAAAACATCCAAAAAAGAGAAAATATCTATTGAGCAACAGCTTCTGAAATGCCAGACTTGCTGATGCCAGGTGTCAGAGGAGAATGGCTAGACTGCTTCATGTTGATAGGAACGCAAAAGTAACTCAAATAACCGTTTGACATGTCAAACCTTGAAGCAGATGGGCTAAAGCAGCCACGCGAGGCGCCACTCCTATCAGCTAAGAATAGGAAACTGCGGCTAAAGCTCGCATGGGCTCAGAAGATTGGAAAAATGCTGCCTGGTCTGACAAGTCTCGATTTCTGCTGTGACATTCAGATGGTAGGGTCAGAATTTTGCATAAACAAAACTCAAATCATCTCCAGCTGGTTTCATGAATATGACAGTAAGTTCACTGTATTCAAAGAACTCCCATGGCCACGACATCTCATCTCACATCATGTACATGCAGGCGATGAATGGGCTACAAATGTGTCAATATGGACCAAAATCTCTCACGAATGTTTCCAGCACCTTGTTGAATCTGTGCCATGAAGAACTGAGGCAGTTCTGAATGCAAAAAAAAGGTCCAACCTGCTATTAGCAAATTGTTCCTAATGAAGTGGCTGGTGGGTTCCTATTACATATTTTATTCTCTTTTTGTTTGGAACATAACCCAATTCTTTTTCTTCCTTTCATTTCATAGCTCTTCTTAGTTAAATTATGCATTTACTATTCAGAGCATAAATTCGCTTAACAGGCAACACTGTTACTATCAGTGGCAAAGGCCAGTGTTTGTGTGTTTATGTGGAATATTCACACTTTTAGTCCTCAGCCTTCTTATTCAACTAAAAATCAAACACCCGCTGCTTTTGTAGTTCACTAATCAAAATGTACCTGTGATGAAACAGTAAGTAACATACGAGCGATTATTTTGCAATATAGATTTTTATTGGATGTCGGTTTAAATTACACCTCCCCGCTGGAGTCTCTCCTTTCCTCACTTCTCGTAACCCTGAGCGGTACTGCGGCATAGAGGGTGTGGGAGCAGCTGAGTAGACATTCCTGCGGGAGACACACCATTCTCCCCTCAGCAAGCAAACACTTCCAGCCTCGCAGGCCCACAGAAAGATACACATATGACAACCATTACCTTAAGTGGCTACTTGTCAGGCAAAATTACACCAGCACTGCGCACTTCAGAAATTATTACTTTTCTTGCTTAGTAAATCATTAGCTACTGGTGCAATCCGATATCAGGAGGCCTACTCTGAGAGTTTTAATCCCGAGGAAAGTCACATGCAATGCTGCTTTGGTTTTACCTGCTCCAAAAGTCCACAAACAGACAAGAAAATCAATTTGCTCTTTCTGTGTATGATTCCCCTCCGCCAATCCTGAAAGCCATTTCTTCTGATTTGATTAATTTATTTAATTTGCTTCTGTGAAAATACTTTTATTACCCCTCGGTGGCAAGCAATAACTGCACCCCAAAAATAGAGGCCAATTAAAACGGTTCTGTGGAGGTCACACGAAGAGAAGGACACACAAGAAATGCACATGTTCTCTCTTCCTCTGACAGGCTCTCACAGTAATTTCAGCCAAACTTCCAGCAAGACTGAAAGCTCCTTCTTCAACACGGCAGCCTCTTAACTCATCTGCGCTAGATGTGACTCACCGTCTGATTAAACTGTATATGTTTAGATGATGGGAAAGGAGAGGAAAACAACCCCAGTTTCCATTAGCCTAACGGGATAGAGTCTGGCTCTGACAAGAAGCCTGCCTGGAGAGAAAGCCCAGTAGAGGAGCTAATCCATTCAGCAGAAGCTAATGGGAGGGGAAGAGGGGTCCATTGTGATTTGAGGGATAGGTTAGTGCTGGCAGGCTGCTCATCACGGGTGATTATAGGAGGTGGAGCAGCGGGAGTGGACTCAGTGGGAGACTGAGAGGCATGATTCGGATTCACCAGGCTAGTATAATAGAAGCAGTAATAAGAAGAGATACTGGTGTTGGAAATGAAGGGGAATGCACTAAATTCAGAGACAAACTGTGCAGAATATGGAGCAAATAAAGAGCTAGTAATACAAAGAAGTGGAGATGATCGAATAAAAATAGGGAGAGACAGCTCCATCACTGCTAAGTTGCTTTTAATTGAGCGGTTCAGGTGAAATCCTGGATATTGACTTTGCGAGGTGCTTTCTGATGCACTGTATAGCAAAGATGAAATCATTCTGACAGTTCCCCACCAAACATCAACAGCTCAAGTCATATCCTTATCCAGTGTTTGCCAATATATTTGACATAAACTACAATACACTCTCCAAGTGTGTATTGCAGGGTTTTTTCCCCCCCAGTTTGCCACAAGTCTAAAGAGAAACAGTGAAGATGGGAAAGATGCGTCAGTCACGGTGCCTTGAAACTACTTGACAGGAGGTGGAAGTGCAATGATCTAGCCGATACTATAATAGGATTTCCTTCAGGTGGAATTTTGACAAAAACGTGTAAGTAGTTGTGTCACGTAATAGCTGTGTTGCAAAAATGTTGCCTTGATGTCACAGTCAGACTTAAGCAGCTCTTGCTTTCTGCATCATGTCTTCTGGGGTTTTATTACCCTTTTTTCTGATTTTCTTTGCCACATCCTTTGGGGAAAACTGTTAAAAAATGAGCCCAAACTTTAGATCCAGTACAGAATGTTTCTCATTATTTAGAAACAATTGCGTGGTGCTTTTTCAGCAGGACGACAAACCGAGAACAAAGGAGGACCATACACAAATGAAGTCATAAACATGCACCACAGCTCTCCTAGTGCACAGACGCCACTTCAGCTCTTTTTCTCCCCCTCTGTGCTTCTTCTTCAGGTCTGTGCTGCCCGCAAGGAAACCACTGTACTGGCTTTTTACCAACTCAAGTTCAAAGGGACGCTTGAATCTCATGTTAGCAAAAGCTCCTTTTCACTGCTACTATCTCCAGAATCTGTGAAGATACACAAGTCCGTCGCTGAGATGCGTTTTCTTGGCAACCGAGAGGTTTTGTTTGGAGAGAAATACAAAGATGAGAGAGACGATAAGTGAATAATGGCCTGAAGAGAGGGATGAAAGGAGGGGGAGTATACTCACAGGCGATGCGGACATGAGCTTTGCGGCTCTTGGTGGTCCCAGCGGAGCTCCAGGCCACACACTGACACCAGAAGTCCTCTGGCCCAAACAATTCCTCCACTTGCTGCCGAGTGATCTCTATGCTAGCCTCCCTCACGACCAAACCTGGGGAAAAGAGCATAAAGGATATTTTTTTTTAAATCATGGAGACGTGAAACAGTAAACAGAACAAAAAACAAAGAATCGACCGTGCAGGAAAATGACATTAATTTGAACACCAGAAAATATAAATAGATGGAAAGCTGAAATGGTTAAAATAATGTGACATCATACACACCAAACTCAAACAATACACATTTGTGTCAGTCTGTCCTGATTCTAGAGCCAGAGCACTGAGCTGCTTGGGTCTGGGCCTTGTGGGGGAGGATTCTCAGCGTCATGGCTAACACAATCCTGTTTGCTAACTCCTCTGATTACTGCTCATTTGGGTGCCAGGGCCCAAACAAACAAATCATCCCCAAAACAAATGCCTCTACCCACAGCTGCCCCTCTAGAGCAGATTATGCTGCTACCATAGCGTGTGCACATCTCTGCATGTCTGTAAATGCCTATTTGTTGGAGCATTTGAGTTATGTACATGCAACCTAGGAACAGTCTATGCGTGCATTATTGACACACCGACGTTTATTGAAGTACAGTGCTTATTTCATTTCTCAATCCATAATATTTTTTCTGACAGGATGGGACATTTAAGAGGACAATGATGCATTCAAAAAGGCTAGGTTAAAAAAAAAAAGCATTTGCAACAGACTGCGTTTTGCAGACATCATGAGAATCTCAACAAGTATCCGAACTAAAACGAGAGCACGCTTGTAACTAATAGAAGTAAAGTATTCCATATGTATGGAGATGGTCCCTATAACTGCATTTGGATGCTGCTGGGCACTGGAACATCTCGCATTTTGCATGGATCCACATTCAGCAGTCCTGCAACATTTGTGCAGATTTTTTAAAAAGAACTTTCACGCTGTGAATATCCCATGCCACCTCATCCCAACAGTGCTGCCCCATTAGGCTTAGATATGGGGTTTGTGTATCCTACTGGAAAGAAATTAAGCTGATGTCATTTTCCTGGAACTCTCATGCTCATGTACCTGGTCAGCAATGATGTGAAAGTGGGACTATCAAATCGCTGCCAGTTGTTCTTGAATCGCCTTTTTGTATGCATTCCCCGCACCATTACACCATCAGCAGCTGCCTGTGCCATCAACACCATGTTGTTTGTATACCAAATTCAGGCCCTGACATCAGTTCCAAAACACTGGCTGTCATTTGTTCCCCCCCTCCTCCCCCTCCTCCCAGTCATTAGTCATCGAGTTTTAGTGCCTTGCCCTGTAGAAAGGTTTGTTGTTAGCTGAGACGATGACTAACTGTTTGTTGAATTGGAAACAAATCTATTTTAACTCAGCACTTAAAGAGTGGTGCAAACTTTTTTTCTATTTTTTTCTGCAAAAATGTTCAAATCTTTGGGTCATTTTAATCCTATTGTTGAACATTGGGTTGTCTGCAACAACCCCCTATCATTGTCTGTTAATTCAAAAAGAATAGTTTGGCTGGTGTCTCTTGACAGGGCACAAATTAAAAGGGCTGTACAGAGTGCACGCTAATTTAAACAGTGGGCTGTGGTGGAATTAATGATTAATGCCTGTGTTGACAAAAGACTACAACTGTTAGTCTGTAAGGGAGGTTTTTTCTTCTTCAAAGTTAGAGATACTGTACTAAATGAATAAATTACCTATTTGCAACTTTAAGGGTAGGTATTGATAGGTACCCGTTTTGAACTTTGCACTTTTTGTTTTGCTACTGTACCATTCTCCAAGTCATAGCTGTCAAAATTATTTTACATCTTGGGTCGGACCAGTGAAGCTGCCCTTTCTTTCAATGTAAAGAAGTTTAACAACATCCCGAATGAATCTCTGAGGTATCTTATTATAAGATAAAGAAGAGCAATTTCAACAGTACGTCTCAGGTTTCATACAAGATGAAGAAATGCTGCTCAAGTAAATGAAAAATCTGTCAGCACGACTCTTTGGATTTAAATTGTGAGAATTAATGTACAAAATTACTAAATATTTTCTGGTATCTCATTGCTCAGAGTGTTTTGTAATAATAATATTTTTTTTTCCTTTTAAAGCAAAGACCCATATAAAAAAATAAATAAGTATTTCTATAGCAGATGGTGAAAAAAAATGTTCCTGTCATGTCACTGTTTATCTCTATTACTTTGGTGTAGTGCGAATGGCCATTGGGGGAGGTCTTATGAAAACACGGTTAAAAGTAAAAAATGTATGCCCTCCTTCACTTTTTCCACAGCCTTACTGGGCTGATTCTGGCCCATGGGCATTATGTTGGACACCCCTGCTCTAGATAATCAAGTTTGGAAATTTCCACAAAAAAAATAAAAATGAAATCACAAAGCAACAAAGCTTACAGTGTTTGGGCTAAGCCAATAAAGCAGAAAATATCATTATGTAGGTCTTACTGTATGTGTGCCTTACAGCAACCGCTGACAGTAGTACTGACTATTCTGTCAAACCATCATTGCTTTGTATTAGATGCAACTGTGTTGTGTTGACAGATCTCCAAAAATAGCTCTGTGACATCTAAATCCAACATCAGCCAGAGCTCTAAAATGTATATCTGAATGTACCTAACTTAGTCATTATGCTAAAAATATCTTTTAAACTAAGCTTACCTAAGAGACACCATGTGCTGTCAATGTGGCATCGCTATTATGTACAGTCTCAAAACTGTGTCATAGATCATTGACTCATTTGTGCCGCAATGTGCATTTAATCAGTGATCTAATCTCTGACTGACATCCAGCTCTTTGCAGCGTGAATCACTGCCAACTGATTCAGATGATAAGCTAATTTGCAACAATTTGTAAACTTAGTTTGTGATGTGAAAACCGGAGAAGAAAAGAAAGAAGTAATCTGAATCAAGGCTCCTGGCTCAAATCAAACGTTGCGCCGAAACAACTTGTCTCAGTGTTACTTTAGTTTTACATATGTGCAGTCATCTCTGCCACTCATGCTAATGTAACAGCAGACTTTCTATCACTAATTATTATGTGAGAGATTATTGCCTGATAACTGCCTGAGACAGCATCTCAGGAGTGAATACTAATCCTGCTCTGCTGGTATGCCTATTAAAAACCATTATCTCTGTGTAAATCCTGAACCTTTTTCCTTAGATTATTAGAGCACAGCTCTGATTGGTTTATATGGTAGCTGTGTGACATTCTGGTTAAATGGAAAATGCAAAGAAATTGGATGGTTAAAAAACGAACATGCCAATTTATTTCAGGTTCAGTGAATTCACACAGCCTCCTTGTTCTGGCACAGAGCAAGCATAGTGACATCCCACACACTAGCTTACCTCTCATGTAAAATTTACACAGTGTGCCAGCAGGCAGGGGTACAGCCATGTCTATTGTGTCCCCGTTTGCTTCGGCGTGTATGGCTTTCAACACATATGTGCGAGTGCCAAAGAGTGCGCCTCTGGTCGTCGCTACTTGATGCCAGTATGCTCGCCTGAGAGGATGTTTTGTTAGTTTGAGAATGTGATGATGGATGTGCTTTTGTGGGAGCATCACATCCAGTCTAGCAGAGGGAAAATCAATAGTGGAAACAGTAAGTAGATTCTCATAATTCTCAGTAGGTCTAAAACGTGCGCAAGAATCAGTCATTTGTTTTTTTTCTGTCAGCGCTGCAGACATAAAGGGCTCTACAGTGATCAATTATCCGCCTGATGTTGTTAGCATACTCTATACCATTAGAGAATCGAAAATGATGACGATGCCCGCAGTGGTTATCAGTCTCCTTTAAGAGTCATTCATGACTTCACGGGGATTACTAAACCTGGATTAAACTCTTCCTTTCCTATGTTGCACTTCAAACACATCTGAAGAATCACCCTGATGGAAAAATCAGAGCTCTGAAACGAGCCCGCTGACCTCATCCAATGACTTCATATGTGCTCAGCTAGAATTTCTAAGTGTGCTTTATATCAATACAATGATAACAAAATAAAACCGGCCATTCAATTTACAATCAAGGTGTGTAAACTGTGTCAGGGCCAGTGAGGCAGGGCTACTATCTTCCTAAGCCATTAATAACTGGCTAAATTAGGGGCTTCATTTTGAGTGGATTCATTATTTATGTGGTTTTTAACATGAGCTAGCCATGCAGCCTATTGTTAGCACCAGGAAACATTATTGATCAAACCAGTCAAGCAAAATGGTATTGGTCACTGAAGGAGAGATGGAGGAGGTGGGAGGCATATATTCCTGTGAGATGAAGAGTGCATCTGTTAGATCTTTTAACGTATATCTCAGAGAAAGTGACAAGCTGTCTCCGGTGTACGTTACATTACCTGCACCTACTTATAATTAATTTGCTACTCATTTGCACAGATCAATGCACTCTCCACTCACAGAGACTATGAAGTGCATTTAAAAATGCTACAATGTTTTGGGCCACGTTAAGCACCTACAAAATCTTCAAAAAGGTTTTGCATTCAATACCCAGTTATTTTGCTCGGGTGTTGTATCTGTCCAGGCTTACTTGCATGTCCTTTCTAGTTCTTTTTACACCCAACAAACAAAATTAAGTCCCATAGAAGCAGTAAAGGAGCACTTACTTTGTCACAGGACTGCACAAAATGTTCTGTTCTGTAAAAATGTTCTTTTCACATGATTGTAGATGCGCACATGAGCCAATTTCCTTTGACCTCATATTTAGGGTGGGTAGATTACAATCTAGTATTGCTTTTATTCAACCATTTCCTAGTTGACATCCCTTGTTTGATCATTTTACACAATACCACAGGAATGTTTTAACATAATCAGCAGAACATCACTCAGATATATTTATTGAAGCCATAATGTGCAATGATATTTTAGTAATGTAAGCTGGGTAGCTAATGCCTTGTTCTTACCTTTAAAATTATGAATATTTCTCAGTGGCTTTGGTTCTAAATGGCCTGCCTTTGTTTGTGAAACGCCTGCACATAAAGTGAAGCTCACAGTGATAAAAACATTTCAGACAGTACTTTTTAATTCGCTTCTTCTAATGCACCTTTATCTACCAGATGGTCAGGAGAGTCTGTCGTCACATACGGCAGACAGCTGAATAACCAATCACAGCAAAGCAGCCCTCCTGCTGATCCAATCTAGCACCAACCAATTTGAAATGGTTCATGGCCACATGTCAGAATGACGCTTCCTTCTGGCAACTGTGTAAATATAAGTTCCCTTTTTCTTTTGGACTATTTTTCCTTTGCACAGGCAAATGCACATGCTGTTTTACTTTTATAACTGGCTGCTGATCAAAAGAAACTCTTCAAATGGTCCCTTTATTCTGCATGTAATCACCGGCTCCTTACAAAAAGATCATGTACAATCATGCTACTTGTTGAGGTGTTTTTTATGCAGTGTATTATGTTTTTTTAATGCTCATGTGCTACTTGTGGCTTACAGCACCTTAGATTCATGGGAATAAAAAAAAACCTTTAGACGTTACATAAACCTGAAGCCACTTCAGCACCAATGATGTAAGGCAGCAGGTAAGTTGGTTCATGCTGTGGTTAACATTGTACAGTGAATCAAGTTCTGTATTGCTGATTGCATTCCAACTACTGATGACGCACACATTGTGCTTTCAGCCGGTAGGATTTCATGACGCAAACATCTTAAATTTTAAAATTAATGTCATTTGCGTCATTCAGTGCCTTTAAAAAGTATTCGCAACATTTACGTTTATGTTTTACTGCCTCACAGGATTGAGTCAAAGCTGATTTGTAGCCTTTTTAACAGAAGAAAAGTCCTTTTTGTAAGTAAAAAAAAGAGAGAGAGAAAGAGAGATGTGTTTTTGAGGAAAGCTTTTAGTTGGCAGAATTACAGCTGTGTAATTCTCTTTCCATTTCTTAGAGGCTGATGTTCTTGTACTCCAAAGCATGTTCAGTGACAGGAAAATTGTATCTTTTCCCTGACATGTGCTCATCAATCACATTTTTCCAAAGTTTTTTTTCTGGGATGTCCCTGTGTTTTTATTGTATGGTTTATGCTACAATACTGATCGAAGAAGGTGAAATCTTTTAAATAGAACCTAGTGTTATCTTTTTAACTATGTGCCCTTTAAAACCTTTGCACTATGTCTCTTCCCTTTGTTTGTGTATATGTATACAGTGTTCCCCTGTATGTACAGCACTGTGCAAAAGTGCAAGGATAAAGAGTAAAATTTTTAAAGTTTTAACAATTAATTTAAACTTTGGTGAGAAGTAGGAAAAAAAAGGTCACGTGATATAATTTCAGACTTGTGTTTTGTGTTGATTACGGATACAGAAACACAATCATGGGCCAGAACTAGACAGATTTAAAGCCGCAGCAGCAGCACATTAGCACATTGTCTTCTTTCTTGTGAAGAAAGAAAAACAAATCAAGTGAGGCATCTAACAATGAATTTAATTGATTGTATTTAAAAGAAAAGTTGAATGGAATCCAGGAACACCTGTAATTTCTATCCTTTGTCTCATAAACATTTTTAATCTCGCAATCTCTTATTTTATGATCAGAACACCTTAACAGAGGTAAGACGAGAGAAAAAGAGAAAATGGGCTCAAGATTTACTCGTACAGAGGAAGAGATCAGATTTCTTTGGGCTACACTGTCAGTGTTATTGACCATGCTGGCCAGTTTCTATTGGTGTTTCTTTTTTGTCAATCTGGGGAAATCAGAGCGCAGTGGAGTGGGATGAGAAGGGCTACACACATCCACTGAGCTCTTGTGGTGTTGTGTGTGTTTGTGCTGGGTGCAAGAGCATAAATGAATGAATATCTTTGCAGTAAATAGCCTGTGGATATGGCTATGTAGAGTGGGTGCGTGTATGATGTGTGGGTTGTTTTCCATGTTGATGCTTTTAGCTAAAAACCTTCTGACATAAAGGCTAAGAGCCACTGATACCTCACCCTCTTCTTTGTCATAATCATAACTACGAAACACAAGCTCAGATCGGTGTATTCTACCTAAAGTACACTAGGTCACAAAATAAAAGTATTTCAGGTTGGAAAGCGTGTTGTTTTTCTTGTTTTTTTTCCCAATAACTCCTTTCATGTTTGTGCTCACTGCAAGAATCCTTTTGTCTGTGTATCTGCTTTTGTATCTTGTACCACTGCTGTAACACTTCTTTTGTATACGCTC